CGCCATCAAGTAATCAAACTCAGATCTCTATTGCAGACTATTGCTTTCATTTTGAAGAATGAACCCCTGGCTTGATTATAATTTTTGCTTCATATCAGGATCTGATTTATAGTTTAGTCAGCATCCCAAGCACTTTTTCTCTGTCCTGATTTACTATCTGTACTCTGACATGAATTTTGTTTCCTTTATATTTATTTTAAGACCATAGTTTTGCATTATTTATTTAATACACATATGAAAGGGATAGTAGGTACTTTGTTTTGCGCAACTACCGAAAACTTTCTTTAGAGGTATGTAAAAGAGTAAATACCATATAGCAAACCACATTTACTTCACTTAATCTCCCCACCTGAACCAAAAGAAAAATGTAATAATATCAAAAAGGCAATAAATTACAATATTTCCTCTTGTAGATGGATCCAATATAATTTTGTTATAATTAAATTAGAACTATAGGTGGCTTTGAAAAATCAAATCGCAACAATATACAAAGCTTCGTTTTATAAGTTTTGAAGTCCCTGGTATTTTCGTCGTTTGCAAATAGACAGATGAAAGATTATCAAAGAAAACATTTATTTAAATATCGTTAGATTTTCTAATTCTGGAAAATCAAACTCAGAAACTTCAGAAACTGAGAAACTCTCGCACTGTGTGACATCACGTGCGACACAAGGATGTGTGCAAAGATATAAGATGTGTAGTTTACGTTTTTATTTTTCTTGGGTATATATTTTCTGATTATTGAAAAATAAAACAATTTTTTTCATTTCACTACATAAAGTGTGTATATTAATAATAATGTAGGAATATAATAGTGTCTTTTCAATTCATAAGCATAAAATTTAATTCTATTTTATACATATTTCGATGGTCAAATTCATTACTGGAATATTTCCAAAATCGTGTAATTTGAACAAATTATATAGAATGATTAAATATTAAAAACATTTTCTGAATCACTTAATTAACATTTAAAATTAGAGAAAATTCTTTTTAAATGAATGTGTTACAAAATATCTTCGAACTTTGACTTGTATTTTCCAACATTAATCTAATTTACAATGTTCCAATAATGAATCCGGCCGACAATTCATAATAAAGCTTTATTGGATATTTTATAGTACATTGTTAAAATTTATTTCTTGAAGTTAAAAAACTTCTTTGTTTGGGTACAAAAGAGAACCTCTAGAGACTGTTTGTAGCCAATCTGGTTCCATATATGTCTCATAATTTAGTAGGGTTTCCTAAACTATATTTGTGATTGAATTTGTATCCAACAAAACCAGCAACATACTTCAAGAGTCCCGATGATTTTGTCTTTCACCTCATAATTGTCTACAACTTCCAAAATGTCATCATCAATTATATGATTCTCCTCCAAGTAGTGAGCTTCTTTAAATGTATTTTGAAGTATTTTGTCCTCTTCAGACTGAGATTCTTTCGAACCTTCAGTTTTTTCTACCAAATTAGACAGCATTTTTTGTGTCAAACAAATATCCTCTGACGCTGAAATATCGCTTGGTAATTGAGGACTTTCTATTGAGCTGTTACATCAGATCCACTAGTTTCAATAGTATTGCGACATTCTGTAATCCGAAAATCTATTGGCGAAGGATGATCATTTGCACCACCCATTCCTCGAATATAAACAAAAAAGTTCTCTAGCATGTCTTGATTCAACCTCGAAGTTAAAATATAGTTAACATTGTTTTTTGCTTGTAGGTAAGGAAGTAACTCTTTCAGAGATCAATTAGTAGACAATATTCCTTTTTAAAATGGAATAAGTTCTTTATGTTTACCAACCCGCATTGAATTGACCCCGCATTTCTGACATTTCATCCAGTAGATGTGCCTGCTTATCTAAATCTGTACCATATGCATTTCATGTTCCAGAAACTGTCTTTTGGCATAAGTCCATTTTCTCCAGCATAACTAATAGCTTTTGCTACAGAATTTGACAATAATTGAACTGCAGGTCTCACTCTTTGACTCATAGAGCCTTTTAAACAGAGATGATGTAGTGTCAATTTATGCGAAATTGTCAATTCTGAAGTTGATATATTTAGTAGCACTTCAAAGTAATCATTGTTGATTATTTTATTGTCAATAACAAAACCATGATCAATAACATGATTTCGGGCAAATTAAATTAAATGTGGAGGATCTACAAAAACAAAAATATTTAAAGACTTATCACAGGGGTGATTAATAAAACAATTTTTATCATATCCAACACTCGGCTGAGACCAAAGGGCAGTATTTCCAATACCCATGTCACTGTTGATTTTATATGTGGGGATATTATATTTTTTACAATTAGCTACAGCACAACCCAGCATGTTTGTGCAAATACATCTACTGGGACAGGGAATCCTATATCTCGAAGACTGTAATTGTTGCTTCGCAGGTGACATCATGCGAGTTGGAGTACACAATTCTATTCCTTGAGTAGCATAGCGGTATTTATGTATCATGCAATTATCCCAATAAGAAATAATATACTTAGTTATAAGGTATAAAACTGCAGATTCAGTTGCTAAGAAACCCTACAGCAGGGGAAAACAAGATTTCACTTTTAATATACTAATAGAAGAACTCTATTTATTGACAAAAATTTATATGCAAATTATCTAGGGCTAAATTGTTCTGTAGAGAGATGCTATTGGAAGACAAATTTTCAGATTCACATGCCGCAGAGAGGTTCACAACTTGGGATTAAGTACATAAAAAAGTTACAAAGCAAGTTATTTGGTAAAAAAGGAATAAATATGATACTGAGAATTAGAAAAAGAAAAATAGGGTAAAATAGGCAAACACATATAAGGACTAGAATTTCCTGCAATTGGAGCAATGAGTTTAGATATGAAGTGTGTGTAGATGACTATTGAAGTTAGGTTATTTACAGAAAACATGAGGAGTTTCATCCTGATTGCCTTAAGACAAAGTTGAATTTTTTTGAATCTGATGAATTGTGGCAGTATGTCATCTAATATAGATGATAAAGACTGGCATATAATACAAAATTCATACTGGAATTTACCTATATTATTCAACCTATATTCAGAGGAAATAATTTAGTGAAGCCTTGGATATTGTGAACATGGAATCATTTTAAATGGAGAAGTTCTAAGCAACATCTGCTATGCAGATGAAATCTTTATTTTTGCAGACAATTTAAACAGTTTACAGCAACTAATAAACAAAGCTAAAGAAGTAAGTGAAAGATTTGGACTACAAGTAAACATATCAAAAAGTAAATTTATGGTCATCAGCAAAAATAAAATTAGAGACATCCAACTGCTTACCAAGAATACACCAGCGGACCAAATAAAACACACTGAGTAAAACACACAAGTTTACCTATCTTGGAACAATAGTAAATGAACAATGAGATCACTCACAACAAGTAAAATATAGAATGGAGAAGGCTAAGAGTGCATTCAACAATATGGCCAAACTCTTTAAAAGCCACAACCTTAATCTGGAGATAAAAGTAAGGTTCCTATGGTGTTATATCTTCTCGATATTATACTACTGAGTTGAATCCTGGACACCCACTGAAGCGATGGAAAAAAAACTTGAAGCCTTTGAGATGTGGCTATACAGAAGAAACCTAAGGATATCATGGACAGACAAGATAACCAACGAGACTGTACTACAAATAATGGGGAAGGAAAGAGAGGTGATGTATATGATTAAACAGAGAAAGTTTGAATATCTATACCTTATTTCATTAAGCGATGCAGGGCAAATAAACAATGATAAATTAAACAGATAATTGTTAAAGATGTTCCAAATGAGTCTACTCGTTCCGATAAGTAACAGTATAATTATGACACTTTATTACTTTTTTTCTTTTCTTAAATATTCGTGTTTATTGCATAGTAAATAAATTAATGTTATCACTGAATACATAGTAAGTGAAAAAATAATCTGATTTATAAAATTAATGAATATTTTATGCATAAATGCAAGTAACAGTTCTTCAAAAATATTTAAAAACTAACCGAAATGTCCATCTTTATTTCGTTTGCCGACATTGTCCGGCTTAATGTTTACATCTTCCTGCCTTAATGAATTTTACTATAGGACATAATCCTTCAAGGCAAAGTATTCAGAAAGCTAGGAATAGGGAGAAGAAGAATATCATGGTTAAAAAACCTGAGGAAATGGTTCTCCACAACAACAACAAATCTATTTAAAGCATCAGTTAATAATATAATTATAGCCAGAATGATTGCCAATATTTGAAACAAATAGGCACCAACAGAAGAATGTCATCTAAAAGTGTAGAAAAACTTATTATTAAAGGAATTTTAGATACAAGAACACATTTGGACATTTTAGAAGAATCTCTTTTACTGATTTTGTCTTCCAACAGGATGTTGCAGAATGTCATACCTCGAAAAAGATCTTGAAATGGATAAAGGACTATTATATACTGTTTTTGAACTGGGTTTCTAATAGTTTCGTCTTGTCCATTTAGAAAGTTTATGGCACAAGATAAAAAGAGCCTTAAAATTGAAACAGACTTCAAGAAATATAGGATTCCTTTATAGCATAATTTTACTCAGTCTTAGTTAAAACTATGCCTGAAAAAATTTTGGAGGTCATAAATAATAAAGGTAAAGTAAATGGTAAACTTTCAGATCAATTCGGGCTCAATATTGCATATTCTTTTGCATTTCTCCTGTTTGACTTTATTGTAGTTATTAGTTTTAATGATTTAACAAGTAGGTATCACTCTTGTGTTAGTTAGTGTTATACAAATAAGAATAAATAAAGTTCATTTAGTACTCATATTTTAGCTCTTTAAAAACACATTTAAAAAAAATAAGTTTGGGCCAATTTTATTGGGACAGGGCTCATATATACAACACACATTTATAACACATATTAAGCAATTTTTTCTATACAGTATTTACATCCACCTATAACCATTCAAAAATTCAACACACACATACTTTCATTAGACCTAAAGTAATAACAAAAACACCTACCAGTAGTTATATCTGTCATAGCAACTCCAACTTTGACTGGTTCACCACTTATAGTACCTGTAGCATGAATTAAACCACCCATAGATGCTGCTATAACATCATAACCAGGTCTATTTTTATAAGGGCCATCAGGACCATAGCCAGTGATTGAACAGTATATTAAATGTGGTGCAACTTTTTGGAAATCTTCATAACCAAGTTTTAGCTCATCTAATTTGCCAGGGACATAATTTTCTACCAAGACATCACTCTTCTTAGCTAAATCGTATAATATACTCTTTCCTTCGGGGTGTTTCAAATCAACACACATACTTTTCTTGTTTCTGTTGACTGAGAGAAAATAACAAGGTTCTTGTGTGTTGTTTGCATAAGGTGGACCCCATTTACGACATTCATCTCCCGTCTTTGGACGTTCAACTTTAATAACTTCAGCCCCTAGATCACTTAAAACCATAGTACAAAAAGGGCCAGCTACAATTCTGGTTAAATCTAAAATTCTAACACCATCCAAGGGAGATTCATCTGAATTGGAACTAATTTTTATGGATTTTTTCCTGAGTTGGTTGGTAATTTGTTTTGTACATGACAACACTCGAAAAGTAGGACAATACATGTTTACCGAAAACTGAACTTTAAAAATTACTGTTTACTACGTACCTGTTCTCTATCGTCAGTCTCGAGTACAGTGACAGTAGTGGAAGATGTACCCTCTTGTTGGTCTTGAAATGTGACTGGTTCCGCCATCTTTCGCTGATTATACCGCACGTAAGCACTTGATAAACATATCACTAAATTTAAACTAATTAAAGCTGCTAGGGCTTAGGAATAAACATTTGTTGATAAGTTTAAAATTGATAAAAATAAGATTGACAGAAAGATGAAAATTTTGATAGTTGTTGACAGTTAACTGTCATGCTCAACCGATATTGCCGGTAAGGAAGAGACCGATTCCCAATTTCGTGTAAAGAGACAGATCCGGCTTCGGACAAGTGTTTCTTAAAAATTATTGAATTATTTTATAGGAACTAAATATAGTAAGTCATATAAGTACGTTAAAGTCAAGTTTTATTAAATAATTCAATTTAATAATAATTCAATTAAATAGTTCAATCTTGGATCTTATGTGAAATTCTATACAAACCTATGTTTTGTGGTTCTTATGTGGTTTTACTAAATTTATTTATTAATTTTTAGATATTCAAATTTAAATCAGGTAACAGCCACTCCCGACTTATATTCTTTTAAATGGGGTCAAGTAACACTTCATTTGAGAGGCTATCAAAATTTTCTGATTCCAAAAATATATTTTTTACATTAATAATTTTTGCATTTTTATTAACTGATTAGTGATTTTGCCCGTCACCACGCAACGGGAAATCCAATCGGGGGATCCAATCCAGTCACTCCACTTAATTTTTTCTGACTTCCTCCTATTTTCCTAAAATTATATTTTAGTCTGTTGTACAACTTTCATAATAAATAATTCACTTTTGTTGGAAAAGCTCGAATTTTTTATTGCCTTTTTAACTAATCACCAAATTCGCAGCCAATATTTTATTATCAAAAATCTTTCAAAAGAGCTAAAAATTAAATTTTTAAATTAATAAACTTCTTGCATGAAAGGGTAGATCTTTTTATCTCCAGATAAATATTATTCTATCTAACAGACAGTTATCTGGAGGATAGATATTTATTCGTAGAACAAAATGTACCCGTCTTTTCACGTCAAATTATGTTGCGGTTACATCCGTAAGATACACGTAAATTTTATTTCGGAACACACCAATGTTTAATTACCTAATTGTCAAAGAAATTACAGTAATGTCTTAATATCTATTTTGAGTATACAATTTGTGGTGACAGGAATATATTAAATTATGTAAAGAAAAAATAAAGAATAAAAAAAATGATACATGTATAATGATGATTATTTTGAGATTTCTCCATATCACTAAAATATTATATAAGGTTAATTCAAGCATCTTCAACTTCAGAAAGTTCAATAATGTCTTCATTTAGCAATTCATCTTCACTTAAAAATGGCTTCACTGTATAATCAGAATCTCCAAGTAATAACACGTCGTTGATTAAAAATTCTTACTACATGGTAACTACGGTCCATCCATCGAGCAAAAAGACAAAAGAGGAAATCTAATCGTTATGAAAAGTAGACCAAAAAAGTGGCCTCTGATGGCGAACATATCCGGAAATGCGAATGCCCCAAATTTAAATTTTCCGACACTTATCAACTATAGCTATATAATATTTTTCAGAATGTGTCTTAGACGAGAAAGTTTTAATTAATTATTAACGACAATAGTCTAAAATGCGAGAGAATTGTTAAAAAACTTCAATATAAATAAAATTTCATGTGACATTTGGGACAAACAATAACATAACCCAACTAAATTTGATGTCAAATAAGGTGAGAGACTCTCTTTCCTTGTTTAATGTGGCCTCTAAAGATTGCACTTCCTGTCTAACAATATGTTTGCCCCCACTATCTTTACATTCCCTCTTTTGTCTTTTTGCTCGATGGGTCCATCTCTCAGAAAAAAAAAATAATTGCTCACGTTTGTCTACTAAATTCCGAACGTGGGCCACCTTCAAAACTTAACAAAACTTTAATGTAGTTAAACATAATACAATAAATATTTAATAATAGGTTTTTGATAAGCCTTTTATTTTTTGACAGTGTTTTAATAAACAAATAATATACTAAGTATATTAACTATATTATCTGGGCTCATTAATAACCAACAAAGGAGGCTGTACTGAAGAAATAAAGCGGCGGTCAGCAATCGCAAAAAGCGCTATGGCAAAATTAACAAAAATTTGGAAAAGCCATGAAATTACTACCGATACAAAAATGAGACTGATGCATCGGAATGCTGGACCCTTACTGAGAATGACAAAAAGAACATAGATGTATTTAAGATGTACTGCTGGAGACGAATGCTGAGAATACCATGGGTGGCCCGAAGAACAAATGAATCCATACTGGTCCAGCTAAACATAAAGAAAAGACTAAGAACACAAATAACAGAACAGATAATAAGCTATTTTGGACATGTGCTTCGAAGAAATGGTCTTGAAAAACTTACCATCCAGGGAAAAGTAGAAGGCAAAAGAAGTAGAGGTAGATCTCCTACACGATACACGGACCATATTGTTGCTACCATTGGCGCTCCATTGTCAGAATGTGCTAGATTGGCAGAAGATAGAAAAACGTGGAGGAACATTGGAAAAATTACCTAACAGCTTCATGATATCACGATACCTGCATCAGGTTAACGACTAAGAAGAAGATTAACTATATTATATTATTAACTATATTATGTTATTAACTATATTCGTTTTGTATATATATTTAATATTATATATATATATATATATATATATATATATATATATATATATATATATATATATATATATATATATATATTAATCTTATTATTTATGTGATATGTTTTGTATTATTTATTAAATGTTCATAATTATTTTAGGCTTTTGTATTTCAAATATATTCAAAAATTTTAATAATAATAAATCACTGTATGACCGAGAACTGTCAATTTTGAAATCCATTAGTGTCATGTCTAATTGGCGAATTTTTTACGTGTTTTGTTCATACGCTAGTGTATGTGAGTTCGAATCCCAATATGAATTTCTTTTTTATTTTTGAAATATTTTAAAACCCCACGTTAATCTTATTAAATATATGTAATATACACAAAAATGCTAAATTTTAAAATAAAATGAAAATTTACAACTTAATCCGAGTTGTTGGTTTTTTATTTTTATCTTTCACAAACATTTTTTGGAGTTATAGTTCTATACGCGCGTTCGACGTTGGAAATTTTCTCTCTATTTCTCTTTAGAGAATAAAAATGTTCCTTTTGTAAATATATTTAATATTTATTATTATCATTTTTTTATTAATTTTATTATCATGGTAAATTAAACATATGCGTAAGTAAGTTATGTATATTGTTAGTTTTAAATACTTATAAATATTGCATTTTAATAAACATGAATTTTACTGCAGAGTATGTGTAAAAATTTTTTTTGCATTCAACTCCTTTTATACATATATGAAAATAAAAATATATATTTTCATTAACATATTGATTAAATCCTTCATTTACTATACTCCTATTACAAGTCAAATGTTTATATACAGCAAACTATGCACCATACACCTATATACCTAAATATTTTTCTCTTTCTGCTCTCTTTTTTAGCATTACATATGTAATGATTGTGCAGATTGACTCCCATATAAATTGGTAACGGCGAACACGTGTGTAAAAGTATAACTTCTACCGGCAGTCCCACTGGACTACCACATCGGTTTTTTTTATTTTTAATCTGTTAATACATACGTAATCCTTCTTTTTCTACCATTAGGTGTCGAGGGAGGTGATTCTAGCTTTTGATGAATTTTCTCCATTCTTTTCTGTTTTTCGCCATTTGTATTGCTTCTTGCCAGCCAAGATTTGCCCTTATTTTATAATATCTCTGCTATGTCGCTGCTTCGCTCTTTTATTGGTCTGTCCCTTTTGGTATTTTTCTATTGGTTTAGCTTCTAATTCTTTTTTTACTTTCCGGGTTTCTTATTTCTTAATTTTTGAGTTTGTCTGTCCTTCTTGCCTCTATCGTTTTTCTGAGGTATTTAATCTCTGCTGCTTGCATCCTACTCTGAAGACTACTGTTTAAGATCCAGTTGTCTGCTCCATATGTCAGTGTTGGTCTATATATTGTTTTATGTATTGCCATCTTCGTTTTCCTTGCTATTTCTTTGTTGTTAAGGAATCCTCTATTTAAAGCCTGGAATAGTTTTCCTGTACTCTCTAGTCTGCTGTTGAGATCATCCTCGATGATTCCTCTGTTATTTATTACTGTTCCCAGGTATTTGTATACATTTGTCTGCTTTGTTGATCTATTACTACTTTGATTTAGTCATCCGTGTCTTTTTTTCTAGTTATTTTCATTATCCGTGCCTTTTCTTTATTTATATTTATGTTGTATTATTCCATTTCCATTTTTATAATTTGAGCTTCAGTTTTTCTACTGTTTTGGATGGGTATCAAATCTGGACCCTAACCAAGACAAATATGACTAGCCTAACCACAACAGAAAGGGTAATGGAAAGAGCAATATTAGGCATACGAGTGTCGGATACAAAAGGGAAACGACTGGGTATCAAAAACATAAGTTGTGGATAACACAACAAAAATTGCCAAACTCAAAAGGAGCTTCGCAGGCCATACTGCTAGACAAAAAACCCACGATGGAACACCACAATACAACATTGGAGACCTTACAATGGTAGACAACCAAGAAGAAGACCACAGATTAGATGGGTAGACGACATAAAAAGAATAGCCGGAACAAATTGGAAGTATATTGCTCAGGACAGAGATCGCTGAAAGGAGTTGGGACAGACTTATGTGCAAAAATAAAAGGTAGAAGGCTAAGGAGAAATTAGTGAGAATAATATCCCATGAACTAATTATTATTCTAGCTTCTTCTTCTTTCTTATCTCTACAACTCTAAAGTCTTGGCCGCGTTTGCTATTGTCCTCTACTCTTGCCAGTCTTGTGCAGC